AAAAGAAAAAAATCAATTTTCATTTCATAATTTATCCCAATCCACCCACTGTCTCCATAGCTACTGCTACCACCTGGCCCCAAGCCTCTGTCATTTGTCAATTAGACTATTACGTTCTAACTCATGCCCCTGCGCCCAATAGTTGATAGTCTGAAATTCAGTCTTCAGAGGTAAGGGTTATCTTCTTTCAAAATGTTTATTTGATCATGTTAACTCTCCCTCTTACCACCCTCCAAAGACTTCCCATTATACTCAATAGTGCTCATGGCCTATCTCACCCAGTCCCTCTCTTTGTCTCCAGCATTGCCTCGAAACATTCAAACATGTTTCTGACTTGAGGCCACTGTATGTCTCTGGCTCTCACCAATTCCACAGCATTCCTTCTTGTCATTGAGTCCGCAGTTTGTTGTCTTCCTGAAAGTCCCCCTCTGATCACCTTACTGATGTTGCTTATGGTTTTGCATAACATTGTCTTTACTTTCAGGGTTTCTCAATCTTAATGTTTTTGACATTTGGGGACAGATAATTATTGTTGAGTGACTGAGAGGTAATAAAGGAAGCTAAGGAGCTTTGGTAAGGAGCTCTGGTAGCGTAGTGGTTATGAATCGGGCTGCGAACCTTAAGGTCAGCAGTTCAAAACTACCAGCTGCTCCGCGGAAGAAAGATGAGGCTTTCTACTCCCGTAAATATTTACACTCTCGGAAATCCTGTACAGGGTCGCTATGGGTCGGAACTGACTCGATGGCACTTAACAACAACAACAACAACAAGGAGCTCTGGTAGCGTAGTGGTTACCAATTGGGCTGCTAACCTCAAGGTCGGCAGATTGAAACTACCAGTTGTTCCGCGGGAGAAAGATGAGGCTTTCTGACCCTGTACAAATTTTGAGATTTGCAGCCTTGGAAACCCTGTGTAGGGTCACTATGAGTTGGAATCAACTTCATGGCACTTAACAACAACAACAACAACAACAATCATTGGAAATTTACAAGATCCAGGAACTGAGAAGCCACAGCGTTGGAGCGATCATCTATTTCGATATTCAACACCCAAGAAAAATGTCAGGTGTAGGGATAAAGAGATTTAAGTGTCAAAGTATTTACAGAATGAGGGACTATTCAATAAATTGGTAGGTAAGAAAGGACAGGTGTTGTCTGAGTATAATCTTTAAAGACACTGTGCCTTTGAAAACAGAAGGAAGAAAATTACCTATAAGTGAGTTCTGGTATAGTGCTGTAGGATAAGCACTGGACTGCTAACCTCAAGGTCAGCAGTTCAAATCCACCAGTCACTCCTTGAAAACCCTATACAGAGTTGCTATGAGTCAGAACTGACTTGGCAGCACTAAACAATAACATATATTATTTACCAGATTCTATGCACATATTTATTATTTTATTCAAGTGTCATAATGACCTTCTATATAATTATTTTTATTCTTAATGATGCTGGTGATAGAAAAAATGTCTACAGTGGTCCACCAGAAGACTTGGTGTTCTTCCCTAGTCTCCAGAATCTGTTGGAATGATGTGATATCACTCTTTTACAGAGATTGGAACATTTGATCTTAAGACACTCCAAATAGAAGCTCCAAGTGTCACTGTAGAGAGTTTGGGAAGGGTGGCTGGTGAGTTTGCATTATTAACCTTGCAGCTTATCCTAAACTTGCAGTGCTTATCCTGCATCGCCACACGGGATTTCTATGTATATTTGTAGTCATAAATGATAACACTATTGATATTTGAAGTGTTGAAGAGCAAATAAGTCAATTTGAGAACTAAGGTGCACATGACCCAAGCTGTGGTATTTTCAATAACCTCATATGCATGTGAAAGGTGAACAGTGAAGAAGGAAGACCATAGAAGAATTGATGCATTTATATTATGGTGTTTAAGGAGACTTACAAATACCATGGACTGTTAGAAGAACAAAAAATCTGTGTTGGATGAAGTACAACCAAAATGTTCCTTAGAAGCCAGGATGGCCAGATTTCGCCTCTCATACTTTGAACATATTATCAGGATGGACCAGTCCCTGGAGAAGGATACTATGCTTGGTGAAGTGGGGGGTCAATAAAAAAGAGGAAGACTCCCAATGAGATGGATTGACACAGTGGCAGCAACAATGGGCTCAAATGTAGTGACAACTGTGAGGTTAGTTCAGGACCGGGCAGTGTTGTTGTACATAAGGATGACCTGAGTTGGAACCGACTAGACAGTGCCTAACAACAACATTGCCATGATCGTACCATGCTTCTGAAATTCTTGTGGATCTGAAATTCTATGTAACCAAATTTATTGTTTCTTTTATAGGATTGTTTGATATAAAGCCTGTATTTCACAAACTCACTGAGACAGTTGCATTGTTTTTCTTAGGTTGGGTTTGTTGTTGTTGTTAAGTGCTGTTGAGTCAATTGTGACTCATAGCAACACTGTATAGGGTTTCTGAGAAGCAGCTGGTGAGCTTGAACCACTGACCTTACAGGTTCAAACAGAACTTGTAGTCCAGTACATTTACCAACAGCGCCACACCAGGGCTCTTAGCTTGGGGTGGTGGTAGTGGTTATGTGCTGTGGAGTCAGTTTTGACTCATAGCAACCCTGTGTAACAGGGGTTCTGAGGTTGTAAATCTTAATGGGAGCAGAAAGCCTCATCTTTCTCCTGTGGAACTGCTGGTAGTTTCGAACTGCTGAACTTGAGGTTAGCAGATTGACTTGTAACCACTATACTACCAGAGATCCTTAGCTTGGGGTACATATTATCAAAATATTAAAATAATGTACACTTCCCTTGGCAGTTCCCATAATATCAACGCTTTCATATTAAAAATGCTTAACCAATTCCAAGTCTAGAAGATCGTTTGTGCAGTTGGACAAAGACTTTGAAGACTAAGTTCTATATTAGACACAATCCTTAGTTATAACTATGTTGGCAGAGTGTTTGACAATTTGTTTCATTACAAAGAGTACCACTTTACTGCTAATATAATATAAGTAAAGCTATAGTTTTGTATTAGGCAAATCTGCTGCACGAGACCTCTTAAGAGTGTTCATGAGCAAAGATAGTAGTTTCAGGCCTTAACTGACCCAAGCCATGGTGCTTTCAATAACCTCATATGCAGTGAAAGTTGGAGAGTGAATAAGGAAGATAGTAGAAGAATTGATGCAGTTGAGTTATGGTGTTGGAGGAGCATATATTAAAAGTACCACATACCATCAAAAGAACAAACAGATCTATGTTGGAAGAAGTATAGCAAGAACTTTCCTTAGAAACCAGGATCTAATGACTTTGTCTCTCATACTTTGGATATATTATCAGGAGGGACCAGCCCCTGGAGAAGGACATCATGCTTGGTAAAGTGGAGGGTCAGTGAAAAGAGGAAGACTCCCAATGAGACAGATTGGCACTGTAGTAGCACCAATTGGTCCAAGGGTAGCAACGATTGTGAGGTTGGAGTAGGACCACGTAGTGTTGCCTTTTATTGTGCATAAATTCACTATGAATTGTTACCACCTCAGTGACACTTCACCACAACAACAGTAGTTTTTGACGTGTTTATGTGTACCCACTCACTTGTGTCTCATTAAAATCATGGGAGTCGGAATTAAGATCTTTTAAAAATAAGACATCAGGAATCCTTCTAGAGCAAATAATTTACCCAACGTCTTAAATGAGTAGTCTTCCAAATGTTAATAGTGTTACAAAAAAAGTTTTAAAATACTTTTAATAAAGCAGGAAGGTATAAGAAGCAAATAAAATCAAAGTGTATATCCTTCATACATATTCCTTCTTCCTATGTTCAATTAGCTAAAAACAATACCTAAGTAAGAATGTCCAATGATCTTATGATTATTTTAAGTTTCCATATTTATAACATTCTTAATTGGTTAGTTAACAAAACCAAATCCACCTGCCATCAAGTGGATTCTGATTTCTAGAACTACCCTATAGGAAAGAGTAGAATAATGCAATAGAGTTTCTAAAGCTGTAAATCTTTACTGGAGCAGACTGTGTAATCTTTATCCTGAGGAGCAGCTGGTGGGATTGAACCTCTGACCTTTAGGCTAATGGCCCAAAGTTTTACCTATAGCATTAGCAACTCTTAACAATATATGTGTTGTTGTTGTTAAATGTCATCGAGTCAGTGCTGATGCATAGTGAACCAGTATAGGGTTTCCAAGAAAGAGCTGGTGGGTTTGAACCTCTAACCTTATGATTAGCAGTCAAGTGCTTATACTACAGCAACACAACACATGACTCTACCAATATATATAGACACATGGAAAATTAAGAATGATAAAATTTCAGTGCATTGCATAGAAGTACACCCTTGCATCTTAAGAAAGCATATAAAAATCAGAACTATGTTTCACAATTAAATGTCAGCTTTTTATTTCAGAACTTTCAACAACTTCATCATTCAAATTCTTACTTTAACTATTTATTTCAACAGGTTTCAAATTTCCATTATATTCCCAACAGACAAAGCATGAGCTCTATATCTAAAATCTGAAAAATAACAGGAAGGGAAAACCAATGAATCAAGGAAGGCTTAAAAAAACTCAATGAATAGCAAAAATGCTGTGTGATCAATGAACTCTTTCCCCCCTAAAACTAATACCTGTTTTAATTTTTCCTTTACATTACATATTTTGAAGCTCAGAGAAAATGAAACCAGCTCTGTATCATCCTTAGACACCCAAATACTTGCAGAGTAAATGAATTTGTCAATTTGATGCTGTATAGAACCTGGTTATCAGTTGTAGGTAGACACAGAAGCTGCTTGTGTTTAACTTCATCTCATATCCTATCATTGCTTTCTCTGGCTTTATCCCAAACCTTCCTCCTCCCACTATAATTAATATTATTGAGGAAACTA